CCCCCCCCACCCCGAAACCAAAGTTTCTCAGTGGATTTGGGCTGTACTCAGCAAGCGCAGTACAGACCCGAAGTCAGAACAAAAAACAATCAGAGGAAGACTGTTTTCTGAGCCGTCGGCTACCGCCGACCGGTCGGCCCCGAACGGTCGGTACAATACGGTCGGCGGTCGGCCCGACCGGTCAGCGGGGATGCAACCCTGTGGCCAGGTGAGTTATTTCGAAGCATGAATTTAGCACCAGTGGGGCGTGCCCCTTGTTCCGCCGAAAACCTGCACGAGGCTCGTTTGCAGTTGGATCATATTCTTGCTGCCGAGGTCCTATTTATAAACCACCAGTGGTTCGTAAAAATGGCCGGTTAACGTGGAAGAAGTTTTACTCCATCTACTATAGCTTGCATAATACCTAGAGATCCAGCATATTCAGGTCCTATCCTTTGTTGTACTCCTGCAGAAATTTTTCTTTCTAACCATACAGTTACTAAGACGCCTAAAATCATTATTACTAGTAGTAAAACTATAGGTAAGAAGATTGATATTAAATAAGCTATATTTTCAGATATACCAAAATCTATCACTAATTTAATAGCGCGCCTTTTGGATTTTCCATCCTGCCTGCCCCAGGTCGAATACATCAGTCCTTGAAAAACTGGCAGCGCGCCGGACAAGCACCTCTCCACTGGCGGCTGAACTCACTCCCGACCCAGCGTGGCAGCGTCGGTTTGATCATTTGATGCTCGCGCGATGGATACAGGTGTCTTTACGGAAAACTCAACTCAATTGCGGAAGTCGCAGAACTCGTTACAGACTGCCGTCTTCTCCTCCTGAAAGTTGCCCCAAATACAACAGCTATAATAACCAGGCGTTCTATGCGGGTGAAGACCATAGTGGAATGAATGTAGTATGTACTATGTACTCGTTCTATGCGGGTGAAGACCGTAGTGGAATGAATGTAGTATGTAGTATGTACTCTCTCCCCGGAGGAGGACAGGTGGGAAGCAGATCGTAACCATTTTATGGGATGGGAATCATGGGACAGGAGATGCCTTGTTGATCCTCATTGAATCCAGAGCTAGTGACTGGAATTTCATCAAGAACTTGAGGATTTTTTTTATTTTTTTTTGGGTTAAGTAATAGCAGGAGCTATGTTTATATCCACGACGCTCTGGACTGAATTGTTTCTGACAGCAATTATCTTTTTTCAAGTCTTTGGTTTTGCTTTGTATCTGATGGCAATGGGTTTGGCTGTTTTGTGTGGTGCGTTTCCAGGATGTTGTGGACGGAGACTTATGCGAGCAGTACCCGATGCTGAGCATGGACGTTCAGCGGAAAATCGCCGATGAGTTGGATAGGTCTCCGGGGGAAATTGTGAAGAAACTGGAGGACATAAGGAACAGAATTATCTAAAGCCTCCATGACTGAGAAGATTCAGGCAATTTGTGTTTGTGTTCGTTTTTGTAATTGATGGTCGATGCCGTGATACTTGTGCTTTCCCTCCACTGCTGGCACAATTTGGGTGTCAGTGTCAGTTTGCTCCTGCTGTCCCGTCTGTCTTCACACCTCTTTGCCGTCTGTCCTTCCTCAATCAACATAAGTCTCTCTCTCTCTCTCTCTCTCTCTCTCTCTCTCTCTCTCTCTCTCTCTCTCTC